AGGTCTTTGTTTGGTGGCCTGAGTGGCAAAAGAAAGACGTTCTGTAAAGGTCGGCACCACAGACTGGATGAGTGACTAAAAACCAGGAGAACTTTTAACGTCAGAATCTTCCTTTGATTCAACAGAAGACACGAGTGACTCCTGCACTGTGACCTGTTAAAGTTTTAATGAGTTTGAATTCTGTGAATGAAACTACGAATTCAAGTGCAATCAAAGGCAAGTATGTAATCAACTGAAGAATGACACAGTTGTGCGATTAGCAGTTTTTATTTAAAGCTAAAAGTGATTTTAAGATTGAATAAAGACGAGTAACTCTGTGACAGATTAGACACAAAAGCCTCACCAAGACTACGAACTACATGCAGGTTAAATGCACCAGGTTACTGCGATAAATGCTGCGTTTCAAAGCTGAACTCTTCTGAAAAGCCGAGGCGCGTCTGCTTGGTCGGGCCTCTTATTCCTCAGATGGAGCGGCCATCTTGACGAGGCTGTCCTTGTCGAACCTGAAGAGCCTCCAGCCCTCCTCCTGAGAGAGGTCCTCGGCACCGCGGCGCTTGTAGAACTGGACCGACGGCTCGTTGTTCTCCGCCACCACGAACATCATGCCGGTGCAGCGCGTCTTCATCGCCAGCTGGGAGAGGACGGAGAGGAGTTTAGGTTGGTGCGCTCAAAAGAACCGCCAAAGTCAGGATGCACTTTAGTTTGTAAACACTCACATTACTGAGGTGCCGCAGGATCCCTGACCCGATGCCCAGCCCTGCATAAAGGAACAAGTCAGGCCATCAATGAAGCTGCAGAGCAGCAGTGAATGTAAACAGATGGAGATGTTTTTACCTCTGTACTCATCCATCACATAGAACTCCTCCAGGTAGAGCTGCTTGCCCACCCAGGGGTCGTACGTGAAGTAGTACATGGCGAAACCCACCACCTTGGGATCTGCAGGGAGAAACAGATGTTAGGCTGTTAGAAACCAGACATCTCATTCTTGAGATTATGTGGATAAAATATATGCAGAGCAAATAAAAGCAGGGCTGATGTTTCATGTTTTGGGAATAACATCAGGCTTAGAAGCTGTGGAGGAAAATTCTTGTTTAAGATGTGAACAAAGAGACAGTTGGGCAAAAATAAATAAAGCAACACCAGGAATGGCTCCATGCAGGAAAACTTCTACTTTAACCTTCAACTTCCTTCTTGTGGGAAATCTGCCAGAACTTTCTCGGCCTAATCAGACCGTTTACGAGCGTCTGCGCTACAGTCACTGGGAATGTGTCCAGATGGTGCCTCAGTTAATGAGGTGCTGCAGGTCAGGCACAAACTGTACATCTCAATGGAAGCTACGTTGTGAAGAACAATGCATTCATTAAATAAACGTGTTCAGGGGGATTAACACCTGCAGGCGAGCGTCTGACTCTCGGCCTGTATTTACAAAACCAGGATGCACACCCTGTGGAAACGCTGTGTCTCAGCAGACTGTGGGAAACATTTACTCTCCTTATCAGGTGACCTGATAACCTGAAGGTTCCTGAGGGAAACTATTTAAGCCTCAGGCTGAAAACCTCCAAGTGTTTTTGCTCCAGAAAGAGGATCCGTGGAGTTTCGTACCTTCACTGCTCTTCTCTCCTTGGATCTCAGTGATGATGCAATGGTAAAACGGGGTGTCACCGAAGCCATCCTCAAGGAGCTCTACAGGCAAACACAACCTTTAATTATTTACACAACAGAGCAGGAGTCTTTTATTCATCTGCAGGTGACTTTAAACTCACCTTTCTCAGTCAGTGTCACCTGGTGCTCCATCTCCTCGTATTTTGCAAGTTCCTGGAACAACAGTGGAATGATGTCATTCGTAGTGCGACACAGCGCTCCTGATGCCATTTCATTTTTATTTAGTCCATAATCCTGTTTGTTTTGAGCTCAAGTTCTTTAACAAGCAAAGTGTATTGCAGCTCTGCAGCTTATCCAGTATTCTAACATTTTATTGTGCGACAAGTCATTTATTAAGGAAGAACACAAACGAATCATTGTAATAATTGGTCAGTATCATTATGGTGATTAAGATGTTTAGATCTTTTCCATCAATCTTTTTTATTCAATGTGAATGAATGAGCAAATTCACAAGAAATGAATTGACATTAAGGTCATTAAAAGGACCAGAAAAGAGGGAGGTTGAAAACAAAAAAAACAAACAAACAAAAAAACCACTTTTCTTTTTACAATTGTAAGGGAAAAATTATTTAAAATGGCTTTACACGCCAAAAAGTTAAGTGGAATTAACTAGAAGGAGCCAATTTTATTTATTTTTTAAAGCCAAGTTTACAAGTAAAGTCGATAAGGTCCTTTAAAGGTTTATTGTGTAAACTGAAAATGACGTGAACTTTAAATTAGAGGCCTCCTAAACGCCCTGATGCTAAATATAGGCTCCACCAGTTTCCAGATCAAACCGGCACCCTCTCTGGGGTTTTACAGATGTCAGCTTGTTTTGTTTTTCTCCACTGTAATAACATTTCTGCGTCGGGGTCAGCTATGGTACGGACTCCGCGTCAGACGGACCATATTTAGACACCCGGCCGCTCTGAGTCATCTGACGGTAAAGAGAGGCCTCCGGCTCTGACCTCATACTCGGACATCCTCCGGAAAGCTCACACCTGCCGATGTTTCGCTAGTTAACGGATTTCCACAGCTAACGGATATTGCAACACGTAACAGTTCCCTTTAGCTCATTTTCGACCGCTATGTTGAATTCCTGCTCTTTTCATATCAAATTAATTACGTTTATCCCCATAACGGTATTTGTTTTTTTAATCCCACAGGCCTACCTTCACCAGTCGTAATATATCAGGCACGTCTCGGGGTTCAGCTTTTCGTAATTTATACTCCATTTTCTTCTTTTACTTTTTTTCCCTTTCGTCAGAAGTCCTCTGTATGTAAATTGGAAGATTAGGTGTTTCTTCATTCGCCTCGCAGTGGCTTTTCCCCCACAGTCAGCCTCTGGTCCGGACGCGCTCGTCGAGATAAAACATTCAGTACGACTGGCCCTCGGCTGGGTCGCTGCCG